TCTCTCCACATTGTCATCTTTCTGCCTGCTCAATCATGTCTCCCAGCTCTCAATCAACTGACTTCTGATTCCCCTGAGAGTCGTGCAAACACCTCTGCCTGTGTCCCTGAGCTGATATTTTCTCCCTGACTAAAATGCTCCTTCCATTTCTCTTTCTGGCCTATACTCTATGCTTGGGCCATATTATCTATGCCCAGGGATTTAACTAACACCCCTTAGTCAAGCAGATTAATGCCATTGAAACAGGAATTTGGGGGGTAAAATAGGACAGGTTTAGGAAATATTAGGAAATTAGGGGCACCATGGAGAAAGCACAGGGCTGTGGAGCAGCAGAAGGTATATTTCCATAGAATGGGGGAGCTGGAAAGCTGCAACAAGTACATTTCCATAGAATGAGGAGCTGGGAACAGCAAAAGTTCTATATTTACAAAATAAAGAGAAGGAAGCCCTTCACTCAGAAGGAGAAGAAGAAAGCCCAAAGGGAATTGGAAAACAATAGGGAAGGAGAGGGAGACAACCTCACATGTCCCAGGTGAGACTCAACCTTTGAATCCACGAGTTACTATAGTAACCAGTCTAAGGGACTAGTGATGACCAATCAGAGGGGATATCAAGGCACCAGGATCTGCAGCCTTTATAAGCCATAGGGAAAAGGAACTCAGTGGGACCCTTTCCCCCTCCCTACATGGGAGTCTAATCTGTGGGACTCTCCCTCTCACCATGTGAGAGTCTGTACTTATTCTTCAATAAATTCCCACCTTTGCTATACCACTTTCTGTCTGTGGATTCATTCTTCCATTCCAGCGGACAAAGAATCCGGGTTTCAGTTCAAAAATTTCATATCACTATGAACCAGGAGGTCAAGGTTCAATTTCCAGTCAAGGCACATGTCCGGGTTGCAGGCTCCATCCCCAGTGTGGGGCATGCATGAGGCAGCCAATCAATGATTCTCTCTCATCATTGATGTTTCTAGCTCTCTCTCCCTCTCCTTTCTGAAATGAATAAAAATATATTTTTTAAAAATAAAAAGTTTGGATAAATGTCTTTATTACATTCCTGTTGCTGATGTAATAAAATACTGAACTCGGTGGCGTAAAAGAAACACCTTTATGCTCTTATTGTTTTGGAGGTCGGAAGTCTGAAACTCGTCTCAATGGACTAAAATCAAGTCTGCAGGGCCAGTTCCCTCTGCAGGCTCCAGGAGAGAATCTGTTTCCTCTTCTTTCCCAGGTTCTCAAGGCCACAAGCATTCCTTGGCTCGTGGCCCCTTCTCCATCTCCACAGACAGCAGTGCAGACCATCTCCAAAAATCCCTCTGATTCCAACCATTTTTCCTTTTTCTTCTGCATTCTAGGACCGTGGTGATTACATTAGTCCCATCTGCATAATTATGTTCCAACTTCTAATCTAAAAGGGAGATCATTGTACTATTGTTGTTCTCTCTGCAGGGATTAAATGTGGACATTAAAGACATGAACATTTTTTAAAAGTCAGCTGATTAGCAAAATATTCCATCTACTACCTTAATGCCCCCCCTTTAGTATAAAAATAATATATTCAAAGTTTCTGGGATTGGGTGCAGGCATCTTTTGGAGGCTCCTATTTATCTGCTACACAGTCTTTTTCAAAAATACATTATTGGATATCATGGCTTCATTATCATGGCTACATTAATGTATTCATCCAAATACATTATTGGATATCTTCTCTAGGGCAGTGATGGCGAACCTTTTGAGCAGGTCGTGTCAGCATTTTGAAAAACCGTAACTTAACTCTGGTGCCATGTCACATATAGAAATTTTTTTATATTTGCAACCACAGTAAAAAAAAGATTTATATTTAATATATTCAAAGTTTCTGGGATTGGGTGCAGGCATCTTTTGGAGGCTCCTATTTATCTGCTACACAGTCTTTTTCTGAAATACATTATTGGATGTCACTCTAGGGCCTTTATTTTTAAAATGGACAAAGGCTTTCTCAGAAGCTTATTTGTTGTTGTTCAAGGACCTTTATATAAAAGAACCAAACACAGAATTTATAACAGCTTCTGGAATAAGTAAATATACTATTCATTCAAATTACATAGAAATACCCCAGCCTGTGTTGCTCAGTGGTTGAGCATTGACCCAGGAACCAAGAGGTCATGGTTCTATTCTTGGTCAGGGCACATGCTCAGGTTATAGGCTCCACCCCCAGTGAGTGCATGCAGGAGGCAGCCAATCAATGATGTTTGTCTCTCATCAATGTTTCTATCTCTCTATCCTTCTCCCTTCACCACTTTCTAAAAATCAATAAAAGCATTTTTCTTAATTACACAGAAATAAACTTTTGGTTCAGAAGA